TTTAAAATGTACGAATAGCAGGAATAAACCGGTTATAATACTCAAAATGTCACATCAAAAACCATATACCTTGTATATTCCATATCTACGTGTTATGAAAAATAACATATGATATTGTGAAAAGATGTTTTAAATCTTTATTCTAAAATAACTATTTTGGATGTGACAATAAAAACTTGTTTAAAAAATCAGCTTCTAGCTTGAAAACTATAAGAGGAGTTGGGATGACTGTTCAATTTCCGTACATAGCATTAGCAAATTTTACAAAAAACAGATTCAGTAACTATATATATGTGAAATATTACAAATTAAAAATAATCTTCACAATAATACGCACGCCTTTCTCTTAACAGTTGAACAAATTAAAATGATGAAAAATTTAAGGATTTTGACTTGAAAACAATAAGAGGAGTCGGTGTGGCGGATTGCGAGGAGGACAATGAGCTCCTTATGGTCGAAAAGTTTGTTTTTTTTAAATAAAAAAAGGAGATGTGGAATTTTTTTTTTTATGATGGTATGATACTAAACCCCTGATCATGACGGGAGGAATTGTGCTTGATTTTCATATGATAAAGACTCAGTAACTGCTAGTAGTCCTTTGTTAATTTATGTTGATTATTGTCATTTTGCTTTAGTTTCTTCTGTTACCTATTCTAACATCGGACTCGGGACTTCTTTTGAACTGAATTTTACTGTGCGTATTGCTGTGTGTTTGTTTATTCCACATTGGCTAGCGGTATAGGGAGAGGGTTGAGATCTCACAAAAGTTGTTTAACCCCGCCGCATTTTTGCGCATGTCCCAAGTCAGGAATCCCTGGCCTTTTTTAGTCATGTATGTTTTTTTAAATTTTGGTTCATTTATATGTTTCGGAGTTGAGTGTGACGTCCATTAGCTGAACAAGTATATATTATTGCTTAGGGGCCAGCTGAAGCCCGACTCCGGGTGCGGGATTTTCTCGCTGTGTTGAAGACCCATTGGTGGCCTTGGACTGTTTTCTGCTCTTTGGTCGGGTTGTTGTCTCTTTGACGCGTTCCCCGGTTCCATTCTCAATTTCAATAATTGCCAATGAGACAACTATCCACCAGAGTTCAAATGAAGTGGATGTTAGCAATTATAGACAACCGTACGGCCTTCAACAATCGGAGAAAAATCCCATACCGTATAGTTGGCTATAAAAGGCCCCGACATGAAAATGTTTTTCTGATTTTTGACTGTCCTCCTGTAGACAAAATATTTCGGTTGCCCTAAGGCCTCGTTTTAAATCATTCATCCGCCACTCGGGAGTAGTATGTAGGGATGGTTTTCGGTAACCTTTCACAGAGTATTGATGACGTAGCAACGTTTTATTGGAACGTAAACAAAGATGTTATGAGATAAGGGGAAGCAAACCTAGTTGATAGAAGAGTAAACAAGAGCGATACAATCAATTACGTAAACTCATTTACCCAAACATTTAGACAATATTGTCATCTTTGGTGTAATCGAATGTGATATAGCTTAATGTTTCGGAGTTTAGTGTGACGTCCATTTTCGCCTGAACTAGTATACATTATTGTTTAGGGGCCAGCTGAAGCCCGCTTCCTGGTGCGGGATTTACTCGTTGTGTTGAAGACCCGTTGATGGTTTTGGGCTGTTTTCTGCTCTTTGGTTGGGTTGTTGTCTCTTTGGCACATTCCCTAGCTGTTTCCATTCTCAATTTATATATAGGTCATCAATAATGAGCAAAACCCATACCGCATAGAAAGCTATAAAAGGCCCCAAAATGACAAATGTAAAACAAAACAAATGAGAAAACTAACTACATGATTTATGTACAAAGCAATAACCGAAAAACAATTATGATATACAGCAACAATCCACTGAACTACAGGCTCCTGAATTGGGACAGGCACATACATAATGTGGCGGGGTTAGAAACCTGCTTGCCAACCGCGCAAATGAATAGTCACACTCTACTCGAGCCGATTGATGCCCAACCATGTAATTGAAGGATCATTTTAATAAATAAATAATTTAAATATATCAAATTTCATCACCGACCATATTTATAATGTGTTCGGGAATACCAGGATGAATTTTAAGGTAAAACGTGCTGAGTAAAGTATTGTGATATTTACCAAAGGACGTACAGCAAACCATGCATTCTGGTATAATCAAATCATCCTCTTAGATGTCGGAACCAAGCATTCATAATGCTATGTAATGAGGGATAAAGAAGATAAACAATCGATATTAAATACAACAGGAAGATGACAATGTTATTATCTTTTGTAAAATACAAGTAAGTTAACAACCTCGTTTCCTATTTAATTAAACAAACAATGTATTCGCACAATGATTCATATTCCTTGATATTCATTACACCACTATGTCTACTCTTCATTTAAAGTCGGGACCTCGGTGGCCGAGTGGTCTAAGTAGTCGAACTACTGTATCACTAGCCAGTCAACACTGAGGTTGTGAGTTCGAATCCCGCACGGGGCAGGTGCACTCGACTCCAATCTTAATTGACTAGGATTGTCAGTTTTCCTACCGTGACCGCCAGAAATTGCACAATAGTGTTGAAAGTGGCATTTAACACCAATTGATCAATCATTTTATGTCTTGTTCTTTTGTTTACAAAATTACATTAGTATACATGTCAATAAATATTATATCACTGTTATCACATATATCAAGCAGTTATGAAAATTTTCCTGAAACAGTTCCTGAGTATAAATTACTGGGCTCTTCCGTTCATGAAAACAAAACACTATGAGATACTTCTGCTATATCTGACTTATTGCAATCCACATAAGGAGACACAATTTTTAATGATGCCAGCTTTGCTCTTACTCATTTAATTTTTGAGTAATAAGCCAAAAACTGCATTTTACCTCTATGTTCAATTTTAACAACATCGGCCATGTTTGTTGATGGATCAAATCCCCAGTTGGAATTTGTTAACAGGATATCATAAGGAACATCCAGGTAAAGTTTTATGTAACATTTGGAACTGTTGTTCCAAAGGAGTTTTTTTTTAAAGTTTACAACAACGAAAAAAGAAGGACAGACGACGAAGACGCCAAGTGATGGCAAAAACTCACATGGTCTTTTATGACAGTAGAGCCAAACACTTTATTTTGAAGGGACATTATTCCTCTCAAAATATTTGGTTGGCACTGGTTTTCGAACTTGTGTAAAACATTAATGAAACCTTTGCTGTAAATTTCCTTATAATCTAACACAAAAGAAGGCTTAAAAGCGCTAACAATGGACTTGACTTCTATAAAAATTATTGATCAGCACTGGTTTTCGATCTTGTCCAAAACATTACTGATAAAAATTTGACATCAGTTTCATAATCAAAGTGCTTGTGAGCACTGAAAGATAAAGTTAGATTTCATTGTGAACTGAATTTAAACATTGAATAGCTTTTTCTAATGACACACAAATCATATACTGTGGATTCATTCTTTTTCGTTGATTGGAAGAAAATTTTATTTTCGTGGATATATGAATTCAAAGTTTTGCTACAGTCTTCATATATATATACCAAAAGAAAATTTTCACTTCGTTGAATATTTAAATTCGTGGTTTATTTATACCTATCCAAATTGGTATCCGACGAATAATAATGTATCCACAGTATTTTGAATTGAGCTATCTTCCTTTGTTCATTTGTGAAAAGTAAAATAACAAAAATACCGAACTCCAAAGGAAAATTCAAAACGGAAAGCCCCTTATCAAATGGCAAAATCAAAAGCTCAAACACATCAAACGAATGGAAAACAACTGTCATATTCCCGACTTGGTACAGGTATTTCCTTATGTAGAAAATGACGATGAGGGTGGTTTTTAACTACCATGACTACCCATGAGGGTCTTGCACGGTCGGGCTTATATAGAAAATGGTCGAATAAAACTGGTTTTATAGCCAGCTAAACCTCTCACCTGATTGAGCCTATTTTTAGAACAAAAAGATTCATACACCATGCACAACTTTCATTTGTTGTATGAAATAGTTTTCTTGACCAGAATAGTATACAAGAACACATAATTCTGTAACTTGAATAACTGATTATAACATATCATTAATAAGTTGCATTGGCTGGATACTATTTAAAGAATGTTCCTCTCACTGCACTATGCTGCTTTAACTTCCAAAGGTAGTGATAAGCTCTGGAAGATATTGATATTAGGCCAGTAGCATAAGGGTTTTGATTGGATTTAATGCAATCTGTATCCTAAAAATCGTACTAGAAATGTGACTTGAGAGTGCTTACAAAGCAATTTTCAATATAATTTATAGCATAACTCCTGTAAAATTAATTGATCAAGGCTGATTTTTTAACACATCCAATATATGTACAAGAACATGAAGAAATGTAGGCTTGAGAGTGCTTACAATGCAATTTACAATTGATATATATTTCCAACTCCTTTCAAAATAGTTGATCAGCACTGATTTTTGAACTCATCCGAGACACTGCTGATATAATCCCATGATATAAAGGAGTATGGCCAAATTTTGTCAAAATGATTACTTTCTTCATTAGAGGTCAAATTTATGGCATCATAATAGCTCTAATGAGTCAGCACTTGTTGAGTTTGTTTATGTCAGATATTTTTACATATTTTGTCATCAAATTTTTTATTTGTATTACTAACTTTAAACTTCACAGAATGTTAGGGCCAATATGGACCCTTCATGAACGTACTCCTTGCATGAAAATCTGGCAAGAATTGTATGCTAACAAGCATTTTAGATGGATATCTGGTATTTCTATGTCCCATGCACTGCTTGACAGCAGAGAACAATAAGGAGATGTGATATGATTGGCAATGAGACAACTTTCAACCCAAGACCATGAGGTGAGGATATAAACAACTATAGCGCATTGTACAGTCTTCAACAATAAACGAGTAAAGTATTTACAAAATATGATATTATTCATAGAGAAAAACAATGGCCTAATTTATGCTTAAAACAGCAAATTAATTAGAACAGATACGGCTGACAGCAACCATTGAAAACATTGAATAGCAGGCTCCTGACTTGGGACAGGGACATAAAGACAAGCTAAAATGATTCTTTTATTCATAACAGATCATTAAAATTGTGTAGATGATAGTTTGAATTAGACCTTCAGATCTTTAAGTTTTGCAATTGATAAGATGCTAAATTCCAGAAGTCAATAGAAAATTGTAATAAAATCTGACATCATATCTTGAACATACATATACATTTTTCCAATATTTAAAATACTGTAAGTTCAGAATTATTCCGAGGTTTTTATTAATGAGGTTAATGCGAAACCTTGAGTATCGCAATAATAAGAACTTGCATTTTGATATCTTGTACATTTATCGATATGTAGCTTTTCCTAAAATAGCAATAATTAAATTCGCTTTTTTGTTCATTCTTCAAAAATTGCAATAATAAATGCACGCAATAATTTCTGCTTTTACAGTAAAAAGAGTTTTGTCTTTTCACCTCAAATCTTAAATATACATTATAACATTTTATTTAATATGGAAAGAGGTTAAACTTGATTCATCCAACTATCATTTGAACCAGTCAAACGTTTCCTATCCTGATTTATTTATTCCATAACTCCATGCTGCAAAATTTCAAAACTTAAACTCAAATTTGATATTTAAGATTTTTGTTCATGATTAAAATTTTATAATTTCAAATAGTAATAGTGAAGGTAAGAAATACATAAATTATAATTTTAATTCATGAGTTAACCAAGATACTTAGATATGTATCCTGAGTAATACAGGAATATCATGTTGATAAACTTTATGAAATATTGATATATGAAAATTAAACTGTTTATTGTTTTACCTATAATGATCAGCACGTTAGATACCAATAAAAATAAGCCCATGTATATATAAAAGAGTCAAATCTATGTCCTTTCCGCATATCTGTGTTCAGTGACATCATGGCACTCAAATCGGTGGCCCTTTGTTTCGCCTCAAAGGTGTGTCCTTTCCTCAGATTTGTGTCCCTTGATGTCATGGCACTCAAATCTATGGCCACTTGTTTACTCAAATCCGTGTCCTTTTATCATAGTAGACTTTCAGTAATGTTACGCTACTTGGGACAGGCATATATATAATGTTCAAGCATTCAAATCCCATAGTTTAACATGCTTGAACTTTTGAATAACCTAAACTGATAGCTATTTAATTTGAATGTAAAAATAGTTTTGATGTCTTTGACAACAAAACATTTTCCTGGAAGACGTTTTGATAATTCTAACGTCATCACATAAATTAGATGAACAGGACACAGATTTGAGAAAAGAAAGGAAACAGATTTGTGATGTCTATGATGCAATATAGGATTGGACACAGATTTGAAGCTGGGCATAAATTTGACTCTTAGGAACTAATAGAAAATGTAAATGGTAGTGTCTTAAATGGTTCTTCAAATAACCGACGTTAAAAACAATTAGAAAAAAAAAAACAATGGGCCAAAAAATATAAAAATAAAAATAACATCCTTTCTTTCCTAAGAAACTACAAAAAAAAATTAAACTAATAATCAAATATGTCAATTTTACTTTTAAAGCATACTACACATATTTTAACTTTCACTATTTTAGTTACCTTATATAAATATATGACTTAAAATATATTATACAAAACAACATTAATTGATTATTCCGATTAAACTGTGGAAGTTTGAACAAAGTACATGAAATTGAAAATTTTTTCTAAAATGATGAATGATGAGGGCAACTAATTTTCTTGCAGATTTTGGTAAATTGGTTATTTTTGAACAATTTCACAGATGTGCAACTTGTGTGTATACAAAATACTGTTAAATATTCCCAACCCAAAACAAAAGATCCCTAATTTTGTTTTTCCTCATGAAAATGGTACATCCCCTCCCCCCAAAACAAAACCCAATCAAAAACCAACATCATATGTAAGTAGTTGTTCAATTCATACACATAATATCAAGAGTAAATACAACAATTATGCCATGCATATCATACACTAAATACAACAAATATGCCATGTAAAATATTACCAACAAAGGCAGTTCAAAAGCTCAACAATAACTTTTATCGTCTTGGTCCCTGGTCTTGTTCTAATAAAATTCACCAATGATATATCTTTACTAGAAAAATGGCACCATCTTTAGGAATGGTTAAAAGCATGAGTCACTGTAAGGAAAAAACTATTACAACAAAAACCATACTTGTTCTATTTCTATTTTTTTAGTATTAGAATCTATATTAATTTAATCAGAACTTTTTGAAAAGTATTAAATGGAGAAAGAAGAATTGCTTAGATAAATCTAAATATAGATTAACATGATTCCTTCATATTGATACTATGAAATAACAACTGCAAGTTACAATTTGAAGCTTTGTGTTGAGTGAGCATTGCAAAAAAATTCAAAAGGTCTTCATATTGTGTTGAGAACTAACATTTTAAAGTTTTAGTATGATGAAAATTTGGTTATCTGTTTATCAGATTGTATTTGTGTGCTTTTCGTGATAAAAACAATATTTTTTCTTGGTTTCACCAGCAAACCAGAAGAGGATTTGATAAGTTTGGGTCAAAATAATCAACGTCATGTCAAATATGACGATGTTGTCAACTAATCAGGTCAAAGGTATTAAGATAAAAATAAGAAGATATGGAAAGATTGTCAATGAGACAACTATCCACTAGAGACCAACATGTAAGCAACTATAGGTTATTTTTTAAAGCTGTGATATATATGCTAATTTTTGAAGAGCTAAGTTATCTGAATCAACCTGTTTCTACTGAAAAAAATATATTTCAATATCTTAAAATAATTGTATAAATTTTCCTCGAATGTGACCTACCTAATTAGACTTATCACCGAGTTTGTACAACACGACGGGTGCCACTTGTGGAGCAGGATCTGCTTACTCTTCCTGAGCACCTAAGATCACCCCCAGTTTTTGATGGTTCATGTTGCTCAGTCCTTAGTTTTCTATTTGTGGTTTGTATACTGTTATTTGTCTTTTGATCCTTTTTTCATTTTTGCAAAACTTTAACGACCAGTCACAAAAAATAATATAAATTATAACACATGTATAGTTTTGGTTGTAATAGAAAAAAATCAGTGCATATACATACTATATATATATATATAGTGCAGTCAACTAACAAATAGATTTAAAATATTTTTCAATGTCGGACCCATTACAGATTAACTACTATATATTAACATAGGATTACTTTTGAATCTATTTCCAGAATAGTAAAATAAATTATAAAGAATTTAAAAAAATGGATAAAAATATAATTGGATTTCATTTACAAGAAAAATATCATAAAACTCATTTCGTTATTAAAGTAACCTGTAAAAAACAACAAACATAAATTTTTGATGCAAACCATTCAAGTAACAATTTTGGAATTTTTTTCTTTCTTGAAGCTTTGTTTTTTTTTTTGTGCTCAGCAAAATTTGTAATTCTTTGTGTTTCATTACTCAAAAAACTTCAAAAATTGAAATGATATATGAAAAACTAACATTTTTGCTAGGAACAGTTTGACACACACATATTACAAGAAAGACTTTGGGAGGCATGTAGTAACAAATTATTTCTATATTGCAATGGAAATCTATCAACAAAGATAACAAAACAAATGAAGCACCATTATGCTAAAACAAATATCGCTGTATTATTAATGTTCATACATATATGGCCCAATGAGATTAATTCTTAGATTTTCATCTTTAGCCTAAATAAATTGTCTTTTAGAGACCAAATAGTAGTAAAATCTTCAGCAGTATATAATTGTTTTTGTACATAAAAATAGAATTATGAAAACTGCATGCAAACAAAAATCTTAGTAAGTAATACATTTCTGCAATATCAGAATCAAAGTTGTGATTAATTGTAAAATGTATGCAGTATCAGCTGATCAAATACACAAATCATTCAAACCTATATGATATTTATTTATAATTAAAACAAACTTCACTAAATGCTTGAAATATCATTAGATTCAATATACAATATAAGTGTAAATAAATGATACATAAAAAATAAAGTAAATAAAAATCACCAGGATTTCTATCAGACCTTGGATTCAATCATATTTATAGCAGAACCTATTCATGTGCTAACCAATTTCCTCGTAAGCATTCAACTCTATTTTAATTTTATCAAAAGCTTTTAAAAAATTTATGGTATTTTTTAGGGATGTCAACGAGTACTCGAGTATTTGAGTATCGCTCGGTAGTACCAAGTATCGAATACCAAAATAATACTCGACTAATCGGTTTCTGTTAGAATGTTGTTACATTCTTAAAGAAAAAATTATTATTAAGAGCGCCTCCCGGGAAATTATTATTAATCAAATTTAATCAAAATTAAAAAAAAAAGCTTCGAATGTTTGCGTTTAATTGTCATTTAAAATTCCCTCGAACAGATGTAGGATATGAACAAGAGCACCTTTCCAAGGCTTACACTTTTAGCTTATCATCTCTTAGTCATTCCAACACCTCTTTACCGTCAGAGCAAATATTTTCATCAGCAGGACTGTTAATTACGTAACAAAGTTGAGAAATCGACTCGTCCCAGAAAAAGTTGAAAAAATAATATTTCCAAAATAAGAACAAATTCGTTGCACCCTGTGTTGACCCTTAGAGAATTGTTAAAGGTATCAGTAAGTTCTAATCATCACCTCTTTGTTGATCATTAAAAGTGTTTTTTTAAGAATTACAAATACTGTTGTTTGAGCAAACATTTTTCTATAGATGTTTATTAATTAATTGATTAGATCATTGCCAGTTTACATAATGAGTGCATATAGTAAATGAGCTATAATTAATTCAAAGAATTTCTAATAGTATTTTATATGATTTTTTAATAACAATTTATATTTAAAAGTATTTTTGAAAGCGATTTCTAAATTAAATTAATTAGTTTTTTAACCCTAGAAATATTTTACAAATTAACATGCAGTTTATTGTATCTATGCACATGTATGTGTTTTATAGTGTCTCATAAGTCAACTGTTTGGCTGTGCATTGATTGCATTTTAAAGATATAATTGTATATATGTCTAAATGTACTGTATCAATCAATGTGTGACACTCAAATAAAATAGATTTTATTATTATTTATTATCAATTATGGTTTAAAATTCCAGGGACTATTATCTAGTCCTTGGTAATTATGTTTAGAGTTTACGTCCATAAGACAAAGACCAAAAATACGTGAAATGGGTATAATTTTGTGTTTCCATTTTGTAGATGTTGATCCGAGCGAGTACTCGAGTAT